TACTAGGACACAAATGGACGTCAGCTTGAGACATTGAAGGCGTTCGCCATAGAAATCTCGGCTTTGATGCTGGTGTACACACAATACCACGATGTCTTGAGCATGAATGACCCTGTCAGAAGGTTTGCATCCTAACAACGTTCAGAATTAAGCACTATGCATACTGTTTTGCGGAACACCGGAAAACATTTGTGGTGGTGGGGGGGAGGGGGAGTGTACACTTACATATATCGTGGCCAGCAAACAATATTTCGCAAGTACAGGAGTGAAAAGCTGAAAAGTAGGAATGTGACAATATTCGAACGCTTTCGAATGTTAGTCAAATAACGCATTCGAAGCATTCGACTTAACAACCATATATTCGAAAAGTTTCGAATATGCTATCTATCTCTTCTGATATGCGGTCGCACATATGACTTGACTGTTAAAAACTAGGGGAATCGAAATAGCGCCTCGCCGCCGCAACAGCCCGATTGATTTCATCGATACGAGGGGTTGAACGTCCCTAATTCACCATATGATTACGAGAGACGCCGTAGTTGAAGACTCCAGAAGTTTCGACATCCTGGGGTTCTTTAAAGTACCCCCAAATCAGAGCACGCGGGCCTCCAGCATCTTCACCTCCATCGAAAATGCAGCCACCGCAGCCGGGATTCGATCTCGCTACCTGCGGGTCAGCAGCAGAGTATCTTAGCCACACTGCAAAAAATATTTTCTCTTGATTACGTAAAAAGGCGTAGGTAACATGCTGCCAACCACTTCCGTAAAAAGAAAATAGCACACCAGAGATCGCGTAGATCACCTAGAACCTACAGGGCGTTAAACTTTCACTGAGATCTCCGCAATGAAGAAATTAAGTAACGGCTGCTACGGAACAACACCTCCTCCGTAGGACCATTTCTCACCCTTATTCATATTACTATTGCTACATGTCCGTAAAAAACAAACATGTTTCCATTAGATTAAACATGAGGCATACGTAATCAGCAGATATTTCTTCTGCAAGTACAAGGTCAATCAAAACTTCTCAGGCCACCATTCCAATGATTCCTGTGGCAGCATCACCTGGGAACCGTTGACTGCACCCACACATGCTCAAAAATTTACGAAGTGAAATTAAATGTTTGAAAACCAACAAGGACAAGTTTCCTAATCACTTAAATCGTATTTAATTTTCCCATTATCATAAAAATAAATACAGCACAACCAAGCTACAAGTTGGGTGAACAAAAATTGTCAAAAAAATTTTTACTTCAGCAGCTTTGTATCTGGAATTTAAAATATGAAGAAGGAATATTATAACTTCCAGATACCCAAAGCATTTATGTTGTGTTCTTATTGTAACAGTATTGTGCAGACTTCTTTTCTGAAAGAAAGGAAAAACTTTTTGCCAGAACAACCAGACCAGGCGAGTACAAAGCAAAAAACGTTGCGAGCACACTTAATTTATCCATTTCAAGACTCCTAACAAGCCTCGTTAGAGGCACTGGCTTGCAGCCCAAAAATAAACGATCACACATATTAACATATATTACATTTATATCGAATGACATGGCTGAAAGCACAAACAACTTCATGAACACACCAAAATATTGGCTAACAATATTAGCTGAGGCGAAACAAGCAACTTTGCATCTGGATTTATTTGAAATATGAAGAAGGAATATCCTAACTTCCAGATACCGAAAGCACCAATGTTGTGTTCCTACTGTAACAGTATTGTGCAGACTTCTTTTGTGAAAAAGAGGAAAAACCTTTTGTCAGCACAACCAGACCAGGCGAGTACAAAGCAAAAAACGTTGTGAGCACAATTATATATTCATTTCAAAACTCCTAACAGACGTTGCTAGAGGCACTGGCTTGCAGCACAAAAATAAATGATCACACATAATAACAAATATTACATTCATATCGAATGACATGGCTGAAAGCACAAACAACTTCATGAACACACCAAAATATTGACTAACAATATTAGTTGAGGTGAAAGGAGCAACTTTGCATCTGGATTTATTTAAAATATGAAGAAGGAATATCATAACTTCCAGATAACCAAAGAGCCTGGGTTGTGTTCCTACTGTAACAGTATTGTGCAGACTTCTTTTCTGAAAAAGAGAAAAACCTTTTGTCAGCACAACCAGACCAGGCGAGTACAAAGCAAAAAACGTTGTGAGCACAATTAATTTATCCATTTCAAGACTCCTAACAGACCTTGCTAGAGGCACTGGCTTGCAGCACAAAAATAAATGATCACACATAATAACAAATATTACATTTATATAAAATGACATGGCTGAAAGCACAAACAACTTCATGGACAAACCAAAATATTGGCTAACATTATTAGTTGAGGCAAAAAGAGCAACCTTGTATCTGGAATTTAAAATATGAAGAAGGAATATCATAACTTTCAGATACCCAAAACACCTGTGTTGTGTTCCTATTGTAATAGTATTGTGCAGACATCTTTTCTGAAAAAGAGGAAAAACATTTTGTCAGCACAGCCAGACCAGGTGAGTACAGAGCAAAATACCTTGCGAGCACAATTATTTATCCATTTCAAGACTCCTAACAGGCCTTGTTAGAGGCACTGGCTTGCAGCACAAAAATAAATGATCACACATAATAACAAATATTACATTCATATAAAATGACATGGCTGAAAGCACAAACAACTTCATGGACAAACCAAAATATTGGCTAACATTATTAGTTGAGGCGAAAAGAGCAACCTTGTATCTGGAATTTAAAATATGAAGAAGGAATATCATAACTTTCAGATACCCAAAACACCTGTGTTGTGTTCCTATTGTAATAGTATTGTACAGACATCTTTTCTGAAAAAGAGGAAAAACATTTTGTCAGCACAGCCAGACCAGGTGAGTACAGAGCAAAATACCTTGCGAGCACAATTATTTATCCATTTCAAGACTCCTAACAGGCCTTGTTAGAGGCACTGGCTTGAGGCACAAAAATAAATGATCACACATAATAAAATATGTTACATTCATATCGAATGACATGGCTGAAAGCACAAACAACTTCATGAACACACCAAAATATTGGCTAACAATATTAGTTGAAGCAAAAGAAGCAACTTTGCATCTGAATTTATTTAAAATATGAAGAAGAAATATCCTAACTTTCAGATACCCAAAACACCTGTGTTGTGTTCCTATTGTAACAGTATTGTGCAGACATCTTTTCTGAAAAAGAGGAAAAACATTTTGTCAGCACAACCAGACCAAGCAAGTACATAGCATAATACGTTGCGAGCACAATTAATTTACCCATTTCAAGACTCCTAACAGGCCTTGTTAAAGGCACTGGCTTGCAGCACAAAAAAAATGATCACACATAATAACAAATATTACAATCATATCGAATGACAAGGCTGAAAGCACAAACAACTTCATGAACACACCAAAATATTGGCTAAGAATAATAGTTGAGGCAAAAGAAGCAACTTTGCATCTGGATTTATTTATTATATGAAGAAGGAATATCATAACTTCCAGATACCAAAAGCACCTGGGTTGTGTTCCTACTGTAACAGTATTGTACAGACTTCTTTTCTGAAAAAGAGGAAAAACCTTCTGTCAGCACAACCAGACCAGGCAAGTACAGAGCAAAATACGTTGCCATCACAATTATTTATCCATTTCAAGACTCCTAACGGGCCTTGTTAGAGGCACTGGCTTGCCGCACAATAAAAATGATCACACATAATAACAAATATTACACTCATATCGAATGACATGGCTGAAAGCACAAACAACTTCATGAACACACCAAAATATTGGCTAAGAATATTAGTTGAGGCAAAAGAAGCAACTTTGCATCTGGATTTATTTAAAATATAAGGAAGGAATATCATAACTTCCAGATACCCAAAGCACCTGTGTTGTGTTCCTACTGTAACAGTATTGTGCAGACTTCTTTTCTGAAAAAGAGGAAAAACCTTTTGTCAGCACAACCAGACCAGGCAAGTACAGAGCAAAATACGTTGCGATCACAATTAATTTATCCATTTCAAGACTCCTAACAGGCCTTGTTAGAGACTCTGGCTTGTAGCAAAAAAATAAATGATCACACATAACAACAAATATTACATTCATATCGAATGACATGGCTGAAAGCACAAACAACTTCATGAACACACCAAAATATTGGCTAACAATATTAGTTGAGGCGAAAGAAGCATATTTGCATCTGGATTTCTTTAAAATATGAAGAAGGAATATCATAACTTCCAGATACCCAAAGCACCTGTGTTGTGTTCCTACTGTAACAGTATTGTGCAGACTTTTTTTCTGAAAAAGAGGAAAAACCTTTTGTCAGAACAACCAGACCAGGCAAGTACAGAGCATAATACGTTGCGAGCACAATTAATTTATCCATTTCAAGACTCCTAACAGGCCTTGTTAGAGACTCTGGCTTGTAGCAAAAAAATAAATGATCACACATAACAACAAATATTACATTCATATCGAATGACATGGCTGAAAGCACAAACAACTTCATGAACACACCAAAATATTGGCTAACAATATTAGTTGAGGCGAAAAAAGCATATTTGCATCTGGATTTCTTTAAAATATGAAGAAGGAATATCATAACTTCCAGATACCCAAAGCACCTGTGTTGTGTTCCTACTGTAACAGTATTGTGCAGACTTCTTTTCTGAAAAAGAGGAAAAACCTTTTGTCAGCACAACCAGACCAGGCAAGTACAGAGCAAAATACGTTGCGATCACAATTAATTTATCCATTTCAAGACTCCTAACAGGCCTTGTTAGAGGCACTGGCTTGCAGCAAAAAAATAAATGATCACACATAACAACAAATATTACATTCATATCGAATGACATGGCTGAAAGCACAAACAACTTCATGAACACACCAAAATATTGGCTAACAATATTAGTTGAGGCGAAAGAAGCATATTTGCATCTGGATTTCTTTAAAATATGAAGAAGGAATATCATAACTTCCAGATAACCAAAGCACCTGTGTTGTGTTCCTACTGTAACAGTATTGTGCAGACTTCTTTTCTGAAAAAGAGGAAAAACCTTTTGTCAGCACAACCAGACCAGGCAAGTACAGAGCAAAATACGTTGCGATCACAATTAATTTATCCATTTCAAGACTCCTAACAGGCCTTGTTAGAGACTCTGGCTTGTAGCAAAAAAATAAATGATCACACATAACAACAAATATTACATTCATATCGAATGACATGGCTGAAAGCACAAACAACTTCATGAACACACCAAAATATTGGCTAACAATATTAGTTGAGGCGAAAGAAGCATATTTGCATCTGGATTTATTTAAAATATGAAGAAGGAATATCATAACTTCCAGATACCCAAAGCACCTGTGTTGTGTTCCTATTGTAACAGTATTGTGCAGACTTCTTTTCTGAAAAAGAGGAAAAACATTTTGTCAGCACAACCAGACCAGGCGAGTACAGAGCAAAAACCGTTGTGAGCACAATTAATTTATCCATTTCAAGACTCCTAACAGGCCTTGTTAGAGGCACTGGCTTGCAGCACAAAAATGAATGATCACACATAATAAAATATGTTACATTCATATCGAATGACATGGCTGAAAGCACAAACAACTTCATGAACACAACAAAATATTGGCTAGCAATATTAGGTGAGGCAAAAGAAGCGAATTTGCATCTGGATTTATTTAAAATATGAAGAAGAAATATCATAACTTTCAGATACCCAAAACACCTGTATTGTGTTCCTATTGTAACAGTATTGTGCAGACTTCTTTTCTGAAAAAGAGGAAAAACCTTTTGTCAGCACAATCAGACCAGGCAAGTACAGAGCAAAATACGTTGCGAGCACAATTAATTTATTCATTTCAAGACTCCTAACAGGCCTTGTTAGAGGCACTGGCTTGCAGCACAAAAATAAATGATCACACATAATAACAAATATTACATTCATATCGAATGACATGGCTGAAAGCACAAACAACTTCATGAACACACCAAAATACTGGCTAACAATATTAGTTGAGGCAAAAGAAGCAACTTTGCATCTGGATTTATTTAAAATATAAGGAAGGAATATCATAACTTCCAGATACCCAAAGCACCTGTGTTGTGTTCCTACTGTAACAGTATTGTGCAGACTTCTTTTCTGAAAAAGAGGAAAAACCTTTTGTCAGCACAACCAGACCAGGCAAGTACAGAGCAAAATACGTTGCGATCACAATTAATTTATCCATTTCAAGACTCCTAACAGGCCTTGTTAGAGGAACTGGCTTGCAGCACAAAAAAAAATGATCACACATAATAACAAATATTACACTCATATCAAATGACAAGGCTGAAAGCACAAACAACTTCATGACTACACCAAAATATTGGCTAACAATGTTAGTTGAGGCAAAAAAAGCAACTTTGCATCTGGATCTATTTAAAATATGAAGAAGGAATATCATAACTTCCAGATACCCAAAGCACCTGTGTTGTGTTCCTATTGTAACGGTATTGTGCAGACTTCTTTTCTGAAAAAGAGAAAAAACATTTTGTCAGCACAACCAGACCAGGCGAATACAGAGCAAAAAACCTTGCGAGCACAATTGATTTATTCATTTCACGACTCCTAACAGGCCTTGTTAGAGGCACTGGCTTGCAGCACAAAAATGAATGATCACACATAATAAAATATGTTACATTCATATCGAATGACATGGCTGAAAGCACAAACAACTTCATGAACACAACAAAATATTGGCTAGCAATATTAGGTGAGGCAAAAGAAGCGAATTTGCATCTGGATTTATTTAAAATATGAAGAAGAAATATCATAACTTTCAGATACCCAAAACACCTGTATTGTGTTCCTATTGTAACAGTATTGTGCAGACTTCTTTTCTGAAAAAGAGGAAAAAACATTTTGTCAGCACAAACAGACCAGGCGAATACAGAGCAAAAAACCTTGCGAGCACAATTCATTTATTCATTTCACGACTCCTAACAGGCCTTGTTAGAGGCACTGGCTTGCAGCACAAAAATGAATGATCACACATAATAAAATATGTTACATTCATATCGAATGACATGGCTGAAAGCACAAACAACTTCATGAACACACCAAAATATTGGCTAACAATATTAGTTGAGCGAAAGGAGCAACCTTGTATCCGGAATTTAAAATATGAAGAAGGAATATCATAACTTCTAGATACCCAAAGCACCTGTGTTGTGTTCCTACCGTAACAGTATTGTGAAGACTTCTTTTCTGAAGAAGAGGAATAACATTTTGTCAGCACAACCAGACCAGGTGAGTACAGAGCAAAAAAAGTTGCAAGCACAATTACTTTATCCATTTCAAGACTCCTAACAGGTCTTGTTAGAGGCACTGGCTTGCAGCAGAAAAATAAATGATCACACCTAATAAAATATATTACATTCATATCATATGACATGGCTGAAAGCACGAACAACTTCATGAACACAACAAACTAGTGGCTAAGAATTTTAGTTGAGGCGAAAGGAGCAAAAAAGTTATTCAATATATTAAACAATTCAACGATCAGGGTTATACAATGCAAAATCACCCAGCATTTTTTTGAACATCACGAATATAGCGGGAAAAATTTTCACATTTCCCGAAGTTCGAAACTCCGACTGAGCTAAAAGTGGTAAAAGAACAAATATTTTCAAATGCCCTTTTGAATGCACTCAATAAATGGCATTTCCAGCAAGGTAATGAAGTGATCTAACTAAAAGTAATGACTTACTTATGTATATCAATTTTTCAAGAGCTCTTCGCACGAGCAATATTGAATAGTGTTTCCAGGTTTGGGATTTTTTTTCTGGTAACATTGCAAATGCCAAGGACACAAATAGGATAAGTGCTGGTGTCCTTTTTGACATGCTACAAATTAAAAAGAATTTACGTACTGAAGTTTAGCAGATAGTCTAAAAAATTGCTAATATCACTTCTTGGGGGCAAAGCTCTCTATTCATCGTCAAAACGCTTGCCTTGGTGGTCGGACAAAAAGTATGCAGAACATTCCATTTTGAAACTCCATGTACTACCTCAATATAGGTGAAGTTACTAAAGCGTATTCTTTTTTAAACTCGGGAGTACTTTTTGAAATTATGTAACTCCACCAGCTTTACCCCTACTTTACTCAAGCGGCATGAAGCACTCGCAAGGGCATCTTTCAACAGATTTAAACAGACCTGAAGTACACACAGCAAGCTTGATGCAGAGCAATTGAAATTGGAATGGGGCTATCATGTGCATTCCATTGCCAACAGATGTGCACTACAATGAATGTCGCTAGAGTGGGGAGACCAGCAGCGTAGCAAAAAGATATTTTTCGCTTGGGGTGGTGTGTGAGGAGAAGGCGACTTCGGTCATACTTTATGTACATTCTTGTGTGTTTGCATGTGTGCATGTAGGTGTATGCACATGCAGAACTAAGAAAATAACAGCATATCTACAAAGTGAATGATGATGTGTGGGGCGATGCTTCAGAGGGTTTTATCGGTAACCGTTAATCCGTCTGTCTGTCTGTCACTCACACTAGCACCTTCTGCTGAGTCATCGATAAACTAGGCGGTCACGAACCGGTCATAGTAGAAGGACAATCCAGGGCTTTAGGATACAAAGCACCTGGACTGTGCTTGGGTTGAGGGGGGGGGGGGGGGGGGAGGGTTAAGCAGCTCCTCCTCCCTTCCTGGCTTAGCCACTGGTGATGATGCCTAGATGAGCCATCAAGCCATTAAAAAGTATAAAGCACACAGTTATCCCTAACGTACAACATAAACGAGACTATCGCCTTGGCTACTAGTTCTTAATTTAAAGTTTTTTTTTCACTTCTGTATTCATATGACAGGCTTTGGGTCTCAGGGAGCAGGGTGCTCTTCTGAAAGCCAGAAAAATAATAAGTGGTTGTTTTACGATATCGTTTATCAGTGTACTGAATCAATGCTACTAGCATGGTAGAAGATGTATGTACTGCATATAGCTAGATATTTTTATTAGGCCTATAAAACACACCTACTGCACATGCAGAATGGCCCAGGAAAGTAGGATTTCTGACTTCGTGTCTCAAAAGCTGCATGGCTCATTTGGAAGTCACCACACTGATCCCAGTCCTTGTAGCACCCCTCTGTTGGCAATGGAACGCAGATGAAAACCCTTTTCCCATTTCAATCGCTCTGCAGAGAGCACAAAATTCGCTCTCTGTACCCCAGGTCAGTGGAAATCTGCTGAAAATTGTCCTTGCAAGAGTGTCATGTCACTTGAGTTACGGAGGCGAAAGGCTGGTGCAGATACATAATTAAACAAATATTTTTCATATTAAAAAAATAATACCCTCTAATAACTTCACCTATGAATAGCTTCTACATCGAGCGTTAAAATGAAATTGTGTGCATATTTATAATGCGACCACCAAGACAAGTTTCTGATGCTGAGTACAGAGGATTTTCAAAACAAGTGACACTCACAATTTTTTTCAGAGCATCTGCTAAAACATCAGTGCCTAAATTATTTTTTATTTTTAGCATGTTGACAGGCCACCAGCACATATTTTGTGTCCTCGGAACTTACCATGTTCCCTAAAAAAACCCAAATGTGAGAACTTTGTTCAATATTGCTCTTCTGAAAAGCCTTTAATATTGATATACATAATTAAGTCATTATTTTAAAGTTAGATAACTTCGTCACCTTTCCAGAAATGTCTTTTATCGAGTGCATTCCAAAAAGTTCTTTTAAAAAAATTGTTTGACACCTTTTACCTTATCTTCAAATAGGTACAAACAATAATTATGGCAGTAATTATATAAATTAACACAATTATCTGCTTAACCAGTGCTAATAACCGGTCGGGTCGAAAGGGCGAACTGAACCCCTTCCCACTAATAGTCCTTAGCCAGTTTAAAATTTAGAAAAAGCAGCCACTGGTAATCGCCACAGAGTGATACATTCTGCTCAGTTTAGCTGGCGAAACCGAAACCGACGCAACAAACAGTGCATCTACCATTCACATCAACCATTCCCTCCATGGCCACACTGTTTATCTTGCATTGGGGGATAAGATTAAGTGAGTGTCAATAAGCAGGCACAAAGCTGTCTAAATTGACGGTTGATAACGGCTAGACAAACAGTGTCGTCATTGAGGGCGTTGTTGGAATGAATGGAAGATGTGCTGTCTGGTGCATCGGTTTTCATTTCGACAGTGAAATTAGGCTGATTGCATCACTCCACGGTGATTATCAGTGGCTGCTTTTCCGAAATTTCAAAGTGGCTATAGATTTTTCGTAGAAAGGACTTGAATTTCCCACTTGATTCGACCAGCTACTATCATTGGTAAAAATGTAAGTGTCTTAATTATTACAATCACTGCCGCAATTATTGTTTGTGCTTATCAGCAGATTACTTTTGTCACAAAAAAGACAATGTCGTAACTAGCATGCAAGTACCTCTTTTCTCTCATTTTTAAAAAATATAGGACACAGTTCTTGAAACACCCTGTATTTCATATACAAAGACAATGTCACAACTAGCATGCAAGTACCTTTTTTCTCTAATTTTTAAAGAATATAGGACACAGTTCTTGAAACACCCTGTATTTCATACACAAGCAGACAATGCGAGGTAAAAACTAACAATGAAGAATGAGCAAGAAGAAATAACGAACTCATAAAAAGACAG